ACTGTACACAATACTCCAAGTGAGGTCTCACAAGAGCAGAGGAGAGGGGCAGGATCACCTCTTTTGACCTGCTGGTCACATTTCTCTTGATGCAGCCCAGGATATGGTTGGTTTCTGGGCTGTGAGCGCACATTGAAGCCTGCTCATGTCAAGCTACTCATCAACCAACACCCCCAAGTCCTTCTCCGCAGGGCTGCTCTGAATCACCAGCCTGTAGCTGTGCCTGGGATTGCCCTGTTCCAGGCATCGGACCTTCCACTTCACTGTGTTGAACTATATGAGGTTGGCATTGGCCACCTCTCAAGCGTGTCCAGGTCCCTCTGGATCCCATCCCTTCCCTCCAGCGTATCAACTGAGCCACACAGCTTGGTGTTGTCAGCAAACTTGCTGAGGGTGCATCAATCCTACTGTCCATGTCAGCGACAAAGATGTTGAACAGGATCAGTCCCAGTACCGACCCCGGAAGGACACCACTCGTTACTGGTGTCCAGTTGGACATTGATCCATTGACTGTAGCTCTCTGTGTGTGGCCATCCAGCCAGTTCTTTATCCATTGGGTGGTCCATCCACCAAATTGTGTCTCTCCAGTTTAGAGACAAGGATGTTGTGCGGGACAGTGTTGAATACTTTGTACAAGTCCAGGCAGACGATGTCAACTGCTATACAATGGTTTGGGTTGGAAAGGACTTTAAGATCATCTAGTTCCAACCCCCTGCTGTGGGCAGGGACACCTCACACTAGAGGAGAGAATTTCCTCAGTTTCCCTGTTCAGTAGCATCATTTCATATTTATGCAACGTAATACATCTGATGAGAGAAAGCACATGCCTTCATTTAACAGAGGACAGTATGGATACTGTCCCATCAAACACACATGGCAAGCATTTCCCTGGACAAATGACTGACTTCATTTGTGGTCTTTTTCACAAGACAGGTATCATGTCATCCTCAAAAATTTCTGTCTATTCAGAATAAACTAGGAAGCACTTTATGTCTTCAGTATACTTGACTGATCATGACATATAACAAATGATCCTTTCCAGATCACTCTGCATGTACCTGATATGTAGTAGCAGACAACTTGTTTACCTGCTACTATTCAACAGCTACAGTAGAAGCAGAGCACAAAAGTCTTTTCCCTTTCTTTTCAAATACTCCCACAACTTTCAAAAAGCTTCTTAAATTTCCTCATGTCTCCCAGTCCCATACACTTACCGCAGTAGTGACTCAGCATCATCATAGCCAATGGGATGAACTGGAATTTTTGGGAGACCTACACCACTGGCTTTGTCTAATCGGTAGGTGTATTCTGAAAGCAAGAGACAGACACTTTCATGTTTACAACTCTCAGAAGGAATCTGTACAGTTCATAGCACAGTCCTAACACTGGAGCCAGGGAAAATCATCTCGTTTTCCTCAAATTCAGGCTCACATATCTTCAGTGATTTCATTCTTTATACTTTAGCAACATGTTTCAGAGAGACACTAACAAAGTTCTCCCATTCTGTCTGCAGTCATGCATTTAGAGCTGGCCTCAGCAACAACCATATGACAAGACCCAGCATGGAAGATCTCAGCGTTGCCAGCAGGGGCTCTTGTGGAGAGAAAGCAGCTCAAATCCTGCAGAAAGAACTTCAAAAGCAAAGAAACTGGTGGACTGCAGAGGCTGGCTCCTTGCTGACGTACTGATGAAAAGCAGAAAGAAAAGACTATGGCTGCAGCTGTTGAATACTTGTGTCATGACCTCTGGGCTAACTTGGGTATGTGAAGTTAAGCAGCCCAGCACTGCACTATGTGGCTCCCTTAACATCTCCCTCACTTTCTCTCCTGCACCATTCACAGAAGTGGCCTACTGATGTGAAACTCAAATCTGCCTCTTTTGAGCCACAGAAGGACCAAGAAAATATGTGTTTTGTTGCAAGGGAAAGAACATCCCCATTACCTTCCTCCTCCCTTTCCTGAAACTAGACCCTCCAAAAACTATTTCTCTAGCATCACTCACCTTTTGCAGGATAGCCTGGTGTCAGAGGATCCCCTGCCCCATTCAGGTTTAATATATTTCCACGCTGGGCTCCTCCACCTGGAAGGTTCCAGCCATTTGGATAGGGATCTGTTCCTGGGGCGCAGTAGTCAGCAGGGTCAGAGTACAGAATAACTCCCTTGGCACCTGCCAATTCAGCATTCTTCACCTGTAAAGTACATCTCTGGTCCCTATCCAGTCCTTTATAGCTTGACACCAGAGTTCAGGGAGGGCAAAAGAAATTATTATAAATTACAATCATTCCTCAGGGCCTTTTACAGTGCTTGGGTTAAGTAAAGGGCCCACAACTGCCTCATATCGTAAAATTTCCTGAATATATATATGCAGATATCAGGTTCCATATGAAAGTAAGAGGTTTTCTGTTGCTTTGAATTTGAGTTAGGAGCTATCTGGAGTGGCAAGGAAAACATGCTTCAGAGTATTACTACATAACCTGAGTTTGCATTGTGTCATCCAGATCAATACAGTCAACTGACTATTGAAATATACACACCATGGATGGAAAAAAACTGTATCACATCAATGCGACCTTATCTTTAAGTTAGACATACTTGTTATTTACATTATTTACCTTAATGATCTCCTCCATGTATGTCATGTACAGAGTACTCAGGGAGATTATTACTACTGAAACTGTCTTTGGTTGTGAACAAGACTAACTCCAAAGAGTGTGCATCTTATGCTTATTATGGCATAAGGACTGACCTGCATGCTGTTTTCATCTTAAAAAGTGTTCTCATGCAACTTTTTTACTGTATAATACTAGTTGGTAGAGAGCAAGAGAAAATATATGACATTCTGACATTCCAATGTGTTTTGCTACTAGATATGGCAGCACTGGTGGAAATAGTATGTATGCAAACCAGTAAGTTACTCACTTAAAGGTTCAGAGAAGATTAGTCAACAGCATATAAGGATGCTGGAGCGGGACTCTTCATCAGGGACTGTAGTGATAGGACAAGGGGTAATAGGTTTAAACAGGGGAAGTTCAGGTTAGACATAAGGAAGAAATTCTTTACTGTGAGGTGCTGGAACAGGTTGTCCAAAGAAGTGGTAAATGCTCCATCTCTGGCAGTGTTCAAGGCCAGGATGGACAGAGCCTTGGGCAACATCGTCTAGGCTGCCCATGCCAGGGAGTTGAAACTAGATGATCTTAAGGTCCTTTCCAACCCTAACCATTCCAGCGAGGAGATTCAGTATTTGATACACTGTGGTAACTGACAAACAGAAATTACAGTCCTGCCCAAATTAGGGTCAAACTAATTTTTGTACAGGAGTCAAACACACTTAAAAAAGACTGTCTTCTTATATCCCTACTGCGGAAATAATTTGAGCGTATGCCTGAAGTATGCACATGACTATGTCCTTTCCTGTCAGACCATGGATATCTACAGAAATCTATAGTTTAAAAATATTTATATGATAAAGACATTGAATAAACAAATAGAGAATTTAAAATAACATCCCTATAGGCATAGTCTCTGCCTGGTGTACATAAACCACTATAAAGAAACACAGCACAGACATCCTAAAGCACAGCTGAACCAGTAGGGAAGAACAGGCTAGCTAAGAATTAAAGTATTACCCAAGAACATTAGTAATATTTTGAAACAATTTATAATATGAACATGAATATAAAAATATGTTTTCCAACTTATTTACTTTTATCCTATAGATGTATTATATACATAGCAAATATATATTTTATATCTTCTAGTATAGAATCATCTTTGAACACAGCTCTGTAAGAACTCCCACAAAAATCTCCAGAACACTTTAGGTGTTTCAGGCTCCTGAAACTGACTGAAGGACCGCACATGTAACATTTTTGTACAGAGGCATTACCTTATTTCCTCTGAAGATCTTCCCATATCTGGCAATGACAATCTTTCCTGTACAGTTAATTCCCATTTCACGCTCTAGCTTAAAGAAGTCCTCGGTGCGGCCATAATTCACATACACTAACTCACCCTGTTAAAAAGAGGTAGAATTTGGAACAAGAATGTCAATGAACTGATGCAAGAAGCACGTGACCTAGTAAGAGAACAAGCTGGGAACAATGAACTCTAGGATTGGTTCCAGTATGAATACTTTTTTGATTGTGAGACAACAGTAGGCAAATGATTTCTAATGAATTTAGACTACTACCACCCGAAACTGCCAGACTTTGTCCACAATGGAGAATGTCAAGTGTGACTTCTGAATCAGAAACTTAGAGTTAAGTGCTCGGAATACAGCATTTACTTCTCTTGTTAGTCTGCTTAAGCTGTAGTCAGTCTTGGCCAGGTGGAGGTATTTTGGACCCTAGCACCACATTTAAGTATCAACTGTATTTTATGAGTAGAGTGAATGATGCCAACATCCTATGAAATTCTCACAACGTACTTAATAAAGCAGAAGCTAAAGGTGGTTGACTGTCAAAGTAAGTACATCTTGCATATGAATAAAATATTATTCATGATTGTATTTCAATCATGTTACTCAATATTTGGTGCATGATTCATCATCCTTAATGTCAGCTACCTAAAGCTGTGCGCATTGCCTAAGAAGGTCCTGTAGTGCACTCCATAGCCAGTGAAGAGCTGGGAAGTTCCCCAAGAACTCGTCCTTTCCAAGAAAATTCATCCAAAACCTGTTTTAAACATCTATTTTAGGCCCTCCGGATATAACTCTCATTGATTATACATACGTCAAAGACTGTTTTACAGTAAATGCCTATAAAAAGCCTCAAGTCAAAGATTTAGGGAAGATGCCTACAACTAGACATCTAAACAACTAAAATTAGGACACAGGAAAATCTTCCTTAGTGCCTTCCTCCATATTACCACATACCTCCAGAGAGATCCTAAATTTAATTTCAAAAAGATATAAGGTTTAATCTCTTATACTGATAAAAATTGCTTACTAGACATTCAGCTGGTCTTATATAACAGCACACAGTATGTCCTGATAAGACTGTGGTACACTCATTTTGACTGTACTGGTTTCATTAGTAATCTGCTCAAGTTGCAATTTCTTTTTAAATTAAGCAAAATGAACTCAGGATAAATCCATGTAATAAAGCGGGGTGTATATCAATAAGGCAAACAGTTTCACACCTAGTAAGACTCTGGTTCTCTCTGTTCAGAGATTAATTCATAAACAAGGATTATTCTTGGGGAGCCTTTTCTGAATTTATGGTGTAGTTTTGCCTCTCAGTAAAATCAAGGGTAACTACTGAAGTCAAAGACAGTTTTTCCAGTCTATTTAGATTAACCAGAAGGGGAATGTGGTCCTCCATTTTAACATGTATCTTGTACAGAATATCTACATTTATAATATCTTGTACAGAATATCTACATTTCTAAGCTGTTGTATTTTTACGACACAGACAAAAAATTACTATTTCAGTAATTTGGTTTATATAATTGCAGAACTGTAACTGTAATTATTAGTAGCAACCAGCAGGGTCTTCACGTTCAGGGCCCTTGTTCTATAATGAAGTGCAAAACAAGTTAACATGAAAGTAATATTTTATGGTGAAAACCAGTTCACACTTCACAAGGCTGTTTAAATAATGTCTTTGATTAAGTAGATGCCATCATATAAAGAAAAGAACAGTTGTGATCTTTAGCAGAAGCTCTCATAACTGTATCTGATATAAAATAAATAATCTGTATTCATAGCCTTTTTCCTGCTGTTGCAGAACAATTCATAATTATTCAATCTCTAGATTCCTGAAATTACATTAAAAGATTCTGGCTATACTTGATACATTGCATAGTAAATCAGGTTTCCTTCATTAAATTATTTTAGCATATCTGAAAATTCTTCATCTTTAAATTTGATTAAAAGGACTAAGAACTACACCAATGTAATAAATTTCTCATGAGAACATTGTGACAGTTTTCTATCGTAATACAAGCTTTGAGAATATAGTGTGGATTCATCAAATGTCTTGTCTGGGCTCTTTTAGCATAGTTAGAGATCTCAAGCACACCTCTTACTTATGACCATCATTAACTAGATGGGAGTACTTTTGCAGTCAATTAAAAGGGAAATGAAGAGCAGAATTTTACCATTATTTATGATGGCTAATGTTCCAAACTAGTACTTGCTGTCTGTCAGGATGTGACTTTGCTATTTTGCTTGCTTTCTGCTAAATATTTCTGCTAAAAGAAGTTTTTTCTCAAAACTTTTTTCATCCAGCTTCTATTGGGATTTAGCTAAAATACACCACACAGAAGAAACATACCTTTTCTGACTATCTGTATAACAGTCAAGGATATATTCCATCTTCCATCTACTGAGAACCTGAAATGAGTGGGAACTACATCTAAATCTCCGAAGGGTTTCTAGCCAGCAAGTAGTGACTATCCCACTCTGACAGCATTTAACCTTCAAAACACAGTTACTTATTTTGTGTTTCATGAAAATGTAACAGTGCTAGCAGCACTGAAATGTATTTCCACAACTCCCTGATTATAGCACTCACCCTGAAAATGTGTGAGCTGCCTTCTTGGCCTTTCTCAGTACGAAGAACTTTGACCATTTCTCCCACTTTCCAGGAAGATGTCCTACTTGTGAGACTACAGT